TTTTTTTCTTTTTCTTTTTTTTTGGTACAGCAAAGGTAAAAATTTATTGAACAAGTACAGACTCCCACGTGGGGAGGGGGAAAGAGTCCCTGGGTGGGTCATTTCTAAATGAGTTAATATTTTTTTAAATTTGAGTTCTAATTCCTAATGTGACAGCTGTTGATTCATATAACCCACATCAACAAAGCTCTTTGGAGGTTCTCCATGAATTTTTAAGATTGTAAAGGGTCCCTGAAATCTAAAAGTTGGAGAAGTTTTCTCAAAAGTCCTAGTACATCCATAAATAGGTGATTGTGCAGCCACTGAGGTGACACTTGTGGAGATGCAGGCAGAGTGCCGACATGGCCAGCAGCCACCGGGGCCCCACCCCCTTGCTCCCGGGCTCTGAAGGGGAAACGGGCTGTGTGTCATTTACACACTCATTTCTTAACATTGCCATTGTCACTAGAACTACTCCTAATTGTGGTGGTAAAACAAGCTTGATAACAGGCTTCCATGGGAGTTGCAGCTCCTTCATACACAGGCTGTAGCTCGAAGCCTATTCCCCACCCACAGACGCAGGACACTGGGACGGTGCAACTGTTTCTTAAACACACAAGTTTGTTTTTTCTTTAATTGCTCATTTGATTTAGTTTTTAAGTTCACTTTCACTACAGGATGAGATGGGTGCATTTACACTAGGCTTCCGCGATGAGAGCTGCCGCAGCTAAAAGAAACTCAGCCTTCAGCTCCCTTTCCACATCCCTCTGAGTCCCACCAAAGCTGCAGGAGACATTGCTGGGCTCACTCCTCGCTTATCCCTCCTCAGAGGCTATCTCGATGGGGACGAGGAGGCCTGGGTCCCTACCTCCCCCTAAGCCCCGGGGATCAGCTTCCACCCTGATCCCTGGCTGGGCCCCCATTCATTTCTGCAGGAAGGAAGCTGGGCTCTGGGGGCTGCAACCACCTGGTATCTGAGGCACCGGCTCTGGGTCCTGCAAGGACTTGTAGTCTGTCCCCTCCTGCTCTCCGCCAAGAGGATGGTCAGCAGGGACCCTGCCGCCAGTGCCCAGCGGAGGGGTGGGACTGCCCAGCATAAAGCCCTACATGTTCCTGCCACCACTGCTGGTCACCATCACATCCACTAAGAGGACGGCCAAGGGGGGACCCGGCCACCACCCGGCCTGGTGCCTGAACTGAGGGACCTTGTGCCCCACCCCCACCCCGCCCGTGACTCCTCCAAGGAGAGCCGTGGCCAGCGGCTGCCCCGGGACTGGACAGCTCAGAGTGCGGAAAGAGAAGCATAAAGCTGGGAGTGTGGGAGGAGAGGGGAGGAGCGGGAACAAAATGTTCATCTAGACAGAGCTGAACAAAACAAAAACAAAACCCGAATGTGTTCTTGTCTCGGCTCAGGATCCAGGCGCTGTGGTGTTCAAAGCCCCTTAGCCGGACATCTCCTCTCGCTGCTCCTTGTTCCTGCGCACCTCGGCGGCATGCAGCTCCTGCGGGGGTCGAGGCGGGGGTGGTGAGCTGGGGTCCTGCTCCCGCACCCCACCCCACCCCTCCCCACCCTCCGCAGTGTCAGGGCCTCGCCTCATCCTGGGCTGGCCCCAAGCACGGACCCGGCGGTGGGGCGCTGGTGGTGCATTGGGCAGGAACCCGCCAAAGGATGGGGCTCCTTGGGGACTTCCCTGGCCCCCAACCCAAAGCAGCTCCGCCCGTCTCCTAGCTCACATCCGGATGCGCTGCTTCAGAGCACTTCAAAGGTGACGCCTGTCCGTTCATTACTGCGCTATCGACTGTGTCCCAGCAGGACCAGATGATGGCTCTCCATTCGCCCACTGCTGGAGGTCCCCCCAAATGCCGGGTGAACCCATCCCGCGGCCCCCACTCTCTGCCTGGGGTCCCGCCCCGCCCGGGCGCGCACCTTCTCGCGCAGCCGCTCGCGCAGCGCCGCCAGGTGCGCCTCGCGGATCTCCTTGCTGAGCTCCATCTTGTAGTTGAGCTTCTCCTCCGCCAGGCGGCTGAAGTTGTTGTTCTCCTCCAGCGCCTTGTGCAGCACCTCCCGCTCGTGCTCGCGCCGCTCCGCCAGCTGCTTCAGCACCTGCGCCTCCTGCGTCTGTGCGGCGCGTTGGAGGGCGTGGAGCGCGGCCCGGCTCCGCCCGCAGCCCAGACCCCCGCCCCCTGGCCCGCGACGCTGCCATCTGACCCGCCAGGGCCCGTCAACCCCTCCCGTCACCCTGCCCTGCTGCCCTCAAGACACACATCTTCGCGGAGCTCACGCCTACCCGGTCCTGATTCGGGGAGGGTGACCTCCTTCCTGGTTTGCCTGCCTTCCGGGGACCTGAGCGCTGAAAGCTCCGAGGCCCCAAGAGACCTCGTCGTTCTGTCCCTGGCCCCTGGCCACAGAGCTGCCCCCTCCCTGCTAGCCTGCTAGGCCGAGGGCGCCCTAGGCAAGGCAGCCTCCGTTCTTCTCGCTCCAAGCCCAAGCCCGCGGTGCGCTGGGAGAGTGCTGAGGAGCAAAGGGAATCTAAACTTGTGGGCCATCACTGAGCCTTCCTGTCTCTTCCTCAAACCTCTGCCCACTGAGCACAAAGGAGCCGTTTGGTACGGGCCAGGTGCTGAGCTTCCTGAGGTGCTAGGAGTGTGGCCAGCTCCCAGGGATGTGGGGAGAGGCTAAGTTGGAGAGAGGAGCCTGGGCTGCTGGTGTCACAGTGTTGGGCCCTTCTGGGGGAGGGGCTGCCCAGTGGCCCCCAAGGACAGCCTGAGCTCCCAGGGGTAATTAGAGCCCTCTGCCTCCCACAAGCCAGTCACTCCGGGTATCTCAGGTCTCACGGGACCTGCTGTGAGGGAGATGGAGCCATTGCCCCTGTCCTGTGAGCTTGGGTACCAGGACACACTCCTGAGAGCAATTCCTCTTCTGTGTGTTTCAGCCTCAGAAGGGCTGGTGTGAGGTGAAGGGGCAGGGAGGGGCCTAGGCTCACTCCCCACTTCTCCCAGAGCCCTTGAACCCCCAACAGGTCTAGTTGTGCAGCCCCCAGCACATGGAGGCCCTTCCTTCTCATTCCCTTGCCCAGGAGAAGGGTGCCAGTCCAGCCTCACATCCCCGGGCCACCACCAGACCCTCCTGGCCATGGCCAAGGCCCTGCAACAGTGTCTGGTTACTGTCTCCCTCCAGCTGACTGCCGTTGGGGGTCCTTCCTCCCCCATCCCATGCTGACCTCTCAGGAGGAGGTCCAGGAAACCATGGGACTCTCCACCCCAGGCCAACCACCAAGCAGCGGTTTGGAGCACCCTGCACCTTGGGGACCATGTCCATGGCCAGCAAGACCTCCTGGCTACCTTCATCAGACCAGATGTGGGGTCCTTACCTTCCTCCGCTCCTCAGCTGCCTCCAGCCGCTTCTGCAGCTCCTCCAGGGAGGTGTCCTTCCTCTTGGGGGGGGAGGAGAGCACAGGGCTCTCCGGTGACAAGTCAGAAGGGGACTTGAGGATGACCTCAAAGCTCTGGCCAGAGGCCCTCTTGTCCAGCTGCTTCACCTCCATGTCTGCAGGGCAAGATCAGACTGGGGCTTCAGGAAGGTCAGCCAAGAGGGGGTGGGTGAAGGGGCTGGTTCCCAGCACACATCCAATTCGAGGCCTGAGCCAGAGGGTGTGGCTGCTCATGGAGGGCCTGCAGGCCTGAGTCCCTAACCAGCCCCTCTCCCCAAAACCCCTCTCCAGAAGCCAGCCAAGCCAGGGGGTCAAAAGGCCACAGAATGGGGAGTGGGCACACTCACCCCCATACTGGTAGATGGTGTTGGGGTGTGGCTGTGAGTAGAAGCAGGAGCAGATGAGCGACAGCACGGACAGCTCCTTCATCTTCTCCTTGTAGGCTGTGGGTGGGAGGCCGGGTGAGCAGCCCCGCCCTCCCTGCCCCATCTCCCCCCATGGCTCCTCCCTCTGGTGCATCTCTCTGGGAGCCTGTCATCTGGCTCTCTCTTTTCCCACATCTGACTCTCTGCATCTCTTCTCTCCCTCCCCACCTGCTGTCTTTCCTTGGACATGCCTCCCTGTGGGTCACCTGCATTGTTCTCTCTGATCCTGTCACTCAGCCCTGGTCTGTCAGGCTCCCTCTCTGCATTGCTGTGTCTCTGTCTCTTGTTCTTTCTTTGGATCACTCCCTCCCTCTGTCTGTGTCTCCGTTCATCCCTCTGTCTTTCTGGCTCTCTGTCACTATCTCTCTTCTTATATTTCTGTGTCTCTGATTCTTTGTCACTGTTGTATTTTCCCAACTCTCACTCCCTCTACCCATCCCCCATACCACTTCCCCTTTTCAGGACTTGCCCCCTGACAACATTAACCACTCAGGACTGGGCTGGCACTGAAGTGGAGCTTATACACTTGGGTGAAGCCCACAGACTTCCTTATCTCTGCCCCCTCCACTTACCCTGACAGTATTGTGGTCACTCCATTAAACCCGGGACTCACCAGATGCTCTGGTTGCCCATCTAGGGCCAACAGGACGGGAGCTGTCCGTTCAGCACCACAGCCCACCCTTTAGCTTTGCAGAGCCATTGCCCTCAAGTAGGAGTTATCACCTCCCAGACAGAAAAAGAGTTGAGCCTGAGCCCTGTTGGGAAAGGGGAAGTGCCCACTCTTGGAATGGAAATAATTGAGCTATTTGTGGTGTGTTCATGGCAAGCCAGGCCTCAAAGTAGACACATTAGTCAATCTTGCAAGCCCAATACTATCACCCCACTCAGCCAAGATGACGCTGGGCCCAGGTGACTCCAGTGACTTTCCCAAACCTCCTCAAGCACAATTCCAGGTGGTCTGTGTTCTTATTGCCACTCCAGCAAGTCCTGAAGTCTAGGAGGCTCAGAGACCCTTGTGACACCAGAGACATACTCCAGGGAGAGGGAGTCTGGCTTCCATGAAGGAAAGGATGCACAGTCCCCTAAGCACTCTCCAAGGGCACACCAACATTTGGACAAGGGTTTAGATGGACAAGAAACTTTCTGATCAAATTTCACACAAGATGCCTGGCCTGCATGGCTCAGTGGTTGAGCGTCGACCTATGAACCAAGAGGTCATGGTTCAACCATGCAGGCTTGATCCCCCATGTGGGGTGTGCAGGAGGCAGCTGATCAAGGATTCTCTCTCATCATTGATGTTTCTCTCTCTCTCCCTCTCCCTTCTCTCTGAAATCAATAAAAATATTTTTTAAAAATTTCACACAAGATGTTTTGAAACTGAGTTAACAGAAAAGTGAGAAGAGTGTTGGTGTTGAAACAGGGCACAGGATAGAAACAATCAGACCCTGGTCTGAGGGAATAGCTCCTGGGGAGCAGGTCCTCCCACAGCCAGCACAGGGAATGAGGTTATTTGATCAGAATACCCTGATGGCCTAGATCAGTGGTTCTCAACCTTCCTAATGCCGCGACCCTTTAATACAGTTCCTCATGTCGTGGTGACCCCCAATTTCATTGTTACAAATTGAACATAATTAAAGCATAGTGATTAATCACAAAACAATATGTAATTATATATGTGTTTTCTGATGGTCTTAGGCGACCCCTGTGAAAGGGTCGTTTGACCCCCAAAGGGGTCGCGGCCCACAGGTTGAGAACCGCTGGCCTAGACTCTTCTGGAGAGAGCCCCAGAGGCTGTGAGGGGACCACGAAGGACTCCTGGACCTCATCATAGAAAGCCTTGGGCGCCTGGAGGGCGTGGGGCAAACACACCTTACTCATTGTCTCCAGGAGGGTGGTGGGGGGCTCAATGGGGATTTTGGTCTGACTTGTCTATTCATGTATCACATGTATGTGTTGTTAAAAGTTCATTTCAAAGAGGAGGCAGAGGGGTACCTCACAGCACATGTGACCAGGCAGAGCCGGCTCACCAGGCACAGCGGCCTGGGAGAGGCTGGGAGTAGCCAGCCCTGAGCTCAGAAGGAAAGAAGCGGGGGGGGGGGGGGGGGGAGTCTCCGGAGAGGCCTGGATCAGGAGGCACCCCTGGGCCTGGGAGAGAACAGGAAGGAGGGGACTCTGTGTGACCCTGCCAGCGCCTGCCACCCGGCACACACACAGTCTCCCATCCTGAGCTTTCAGAACCTGTGTGTGGGTGTATGTTACAGGCCAGGAGCCTGGGGCCTCACAGCTGCTCTGGCTCCTCTCTGCCTTGAGCCTGAAATTTTCCCAGGAAAAGGAGCTGCAGATTCATTAAAGAGAAGGAACAAGTTCATGAACAAATGCCAGGGGGTGCTTCCTTTCAGGTCACTGTCACCTCAGCATGGGGGGCGGCTGGCAGCAATTCAGGGAGCAGGACGGGGAGCATGGGCAGGCATGAGCGCTGCGTTGTCAGGAGGGAGAGGACAGGGACCGGGGGCTGGAGACAGGTCAGAGCTCTCATAGGTCACAGCCGTGCCCAGGGGATGAGTGTCCACCTGGGAATGGAGGGACTGTGTCCTACAGCTTCGAACAGGGACACAGCTCAGTGTCTGATGGTCATGGCGATTCCCCAGGTTGGTGTATCCCAGTCCTTTCCAGTCAACTGATCCTCATGAAGCCAAGTGGGAAGGGACTTGAGAGTGAGCCCTGCTCTGTGGTCTGGCTACATGCCAGAGGGGACTGGCCAGCACGTGGGGAATTGGAGAACGAGGCCAGCTTAGCCTCATGCAAGACAGGAGGTTACACCTGTATTTTCAGAGCTGGAGGGGCTTAAAGGTCATGTCTCATTGCAGAGGGAAGAGATAAAGACTCAGACCCATCCAGGACACCCCTCCACAGACATAGCTCAAGCTCAGAAGCCCCTCGAGGTCACGAGGCACCAGACCTTGTCTCCCCTTCACCAGCACCCTTCTCTTCCCTCCATATCCCTGGCTTCAGGAAGTCATACAAACAAACCTCTGCCATGACCTGGATTGATTTCATCTCCCTCTTCCTCTTCATATCAAATGTTAAATTTGATAAAATGCATATTGGGCTTTGGATGGCTAGATCCCAGATGAGCAAGATTTAGAAGGCACCAAATCAGCACGTAGCCACATGGTAACAACACCAGTGCCTATGGAGGGGGAAAATCCCACCCATTCTCCCAACTGACCCTCAAGACCAGCCAGCCAGGCAGACACCTTTGTCAGCCTCATTTGTACAGAGGAAAAGGAGGCCCAGAGAGGGCAAGTGGCCCACCCAAAGTCACACAGCATGCCAGGATCAGAGCCTGGTCACAAGCCCAGGTCTCTGATGGCACTTTCTTGTTGGGAGCCTTATGGGGAGAACTGGGAGGCCAGGTGGCCCACAGATGCCCACTCACCCCTAGAAGGGCCCTGGGGGCTGCTGCTAACTGTTCCCCAACAGGTGGAACTTGTTGCCACCAAGCTGCCCCTCTCTAACCTGTCAGAGTTGCCTCCAACAGTGCCAGGAGCCCCACATGGGGGGACTTGGTGTAATCACCTTTCTCTGGGCAGGAAACTGGGAAATGTGGCCACAACAGTCACACTACTTGACATGGAGGGGCATTCTCCTCTTGCCAGGCATCAGGCCAAGTGCCTGTCCTGAAATCTCTCATTCGACCCTCAGAACAAGCCTAGGGGAGGTGCTGTCATTATCATCCCCCCAGACGGGAACGGAGGCCCAGGAGCTCAGTAGCAGGCAGGAGACCTCACGCCTGAGGAACTGTATCAGGCGGAGTGAGCAGGAGTCTGCAAGCCTGTGAGAGCCGTGTGCCTGAGACCGACACTGGCCAGGAGAGGCGGCCATAGGGGCCGGGGATGGGAGCTTTCTGTCTGCACAGGAAGAGAAAGCTACGATCAACCTTGTGGCGGCCGCGAGGCCCCTGCAGATGACAACTCTTCACCCTGGTCACTGGGACCAGGCAGAGCCACCTGTGAGTGTGAGCGGGAGGCCAGCGCTGCGGTCAGGTCAGCAATGTCTTTCACAGAGAAGCCACAGCTGGAGTTCACTTAACCTGATTTTGGCCACACTGACTGGGGGCCTCACGCAACCCCCTCTGGGCCAGGCTGCCCTGCTCTCTAGTGCTGAAGGCTGGAGGCGCTGGTGGTGAGCGCACCTGTAGCTACACTCTATCAAGGGTGGCGCTGACGGCAGAACAGGAAAGCCCAGGCCCGGGCCGCCGCCAGGGACCAAGCAAGGGTCAGCGGTGCCCCAACATCTGGCAACGAGAAAGGGCTGGGGTCAGGGGGCTCTGGGGTCAGAGGGTGTCTGTGCACAGCTCTGACAGCCATGGAAGGTGAGGTTTTTCAGCTGCTTACCTGTCAGATGGAGGGGGAGGAGGCCTACTGAGCAGGGTTTTCACCACTAAGGAGGGTGAGCGAGAGAAAACGCTGAGAAGTACTCCCCACAAGAGGCTGCCATGGTCCCGCCCGCAGGCTCAGAGAGGAGCAGGACCAGGGCCCCTCAGGGCAGCTCTCTGGCCACCCGCCCTGGCTGGAGGAGGGACTCTTTCTGCCCAAAGCTGGTCCCCAATCTCCATGCAAGTCAGCGAGAGGCAGGTGCGGAGGAAGCCTAGAGGGACCCGACCCCCAGACGGCGTGGGAGGCGAGTGCTCAGGGACACACACTCCTCCCACGGGTCACCTGGGCACTGGAGTCGCTGGCGGAGGGCCGGGGTGGAGGCCGGGCCCACACGGGTGGGCTGAGCTCTGCAGAGAATCCGGTCCGCGGGGAGCCGAGCGGGGACCTCGGGCGGCCCCCAGGGTGGAGGGAAGGGTGGCGGGAGTGCGGGTCCTGGTCCGAGAGGGAAACAGGGCGGCAGTGGGGCGGCCCGTCCCCGTGGTCCCCGCCGAGTGCCAAGAGGGAGCTGGTCCTGGGGCTGCTGGTGGGAGCAGACTGCTCTGGGGAGAGCGAGCCCCGCTCCCTCGCTCCTGGGGGCCCCTGGCAGTCCCCCGCGTTTGGCAAGTGCCCAGCGGCCACCTCACCACGCCCGGTGCCCGCCCCTCCGCCGAGCTCCGCGCGGGCGTGGGCAGGAAGGCGGGAGAGGGAGGCCGG